TATATATATATATATATAGAGATATATATAGAGATATATATAGATATAGTAAGGGCTTGCTAGTTGTACATTGTACATTGTTGTTTAACTATGCCATTACTTTAGAGCATGAATGTCATTTTCTTGTATTTTTGTGGAAAAATTGGTTTCTTTCACTGCACAGTGTATATTTTAACCTCCAGAGATAAATGCTGTAACTAATCTTGAAAGAACTGCTGTGGTTATCTGAGTTTCCTTGTTGTTTCTCAAACATCAGCTGTCGAGTCCTGCTCTGTCACTGTTTAGTCATTTTGGAGCCAGATGAAGCAGCATAGTCAGAGCATCTACTCTTTGAAAATGTTTGGCCTGCAGACTGCTGACGGATCCAGCAAATCCTTAACAGACTGAATGTGTTTTATGAGTCTGTCTGACCACAGTGTGTAATTAACTGCTGACTCAACTCCAGAGCTGTTAACACAGAGCAGTTAGCTTTAGCAAGTAAGAATAGACTACTAATTAGAGATCCTTGGACATAAATTGTTGTGATAATTGTGTTCATTAAAGAGACAAAACAAACATTTTCTTTAGAAAAAAGGCAGAAAATGAAGCTTTGATAACCACACAGTCTGTGGTACTGGGCTTGTGCCACAGGGAATTTCCATAATGCAGTTCCCAGTATCCCACCCCAGTCCTGGTTTTACTCTATCTTTAATTTTAATTCCTAACCTCTGATTAGCTTGGCTCCCTGACAAAGGAAAGAAAAATGCTGATTTAGAAGAAAATTGTTAAATAAACAGTGTCACCTCATGCTGTTATGCTTTGTTTTCCACTTTTAGGCAGAGCTGCTCACCGGTACCTCGGTAGCCAGTGTGGAAGAGGCACATCGGGCTGGTCAAAAGCTGTTGAAACGAGGCTGCGGGTCAGTTATTGTCACCTTGGGGCCCCAAGGGTGCGTGGTGCTCAAGGGAGGGGAGCCTACATTAAAACATGTTCCAGCTCCTGAGGTCACAGCAGTGGACACAACAGTAAGAATACCATATCCTTTCCAGTTGCCTATTTTCTATAAATTATCAAAACTTAAGAACCTAAAAAACTAACTTTGATGGCACCCTGACTCGAGTTCGGGGATAGATTCTCTGTCAGTCTAGAAACCCAATATATTTGGCCCACTCACCCATCTCACTTGAGTTGGGTGATATTTAAGGTTTTCATCAGTTCAATGCTGGTGATTGCCAGTATAGTCGCCCCTGTACTCTGCCACACTCGCTTGTTGTGAAAACCAATATAAAATTACCCATTCAGGTTTATCTTTGCTTATAAATACAGCTAAACCAGCTAAAATCAGCAAAGCAGTGAAATGATTCAATCACATCAGTTAGTTAGTTAGTATGCAAATAAATGATTAGGGTTCAAAAATATCAAGAAGACTATTAAAACTGAAAAAGTTAGTTAGTTAGTTAGTATGCAAATAAATGATTAGGGTTCAAAAATATCAAGAAGACTATTAAAACTGAAAAACAACTGCCTTAGAGAATGTGTTCAATAGTTGCTTTTTTTTTTCAGTTTCCCAGGTTTACTCCAGCCTTCCTCTGTTTTTTGTTTTGTGTGTGTGTGTGTGTGTGTGTGTGTGTGTGTGTGTGTGTG